TCTGGCTTAGAGTAATCCGCCCAGCCAGCAAAAAGGAAATGCCAGACAATCTTTGACTCGTTGGCTAAGGTGAGTCGCAGTTTACGAACCTCGGAGCGAGAGTATTGGTCAAAGCTCGATTCCAATAGAGTGACTTCGCCCATTATATTGTCATTCGCTTCTTCGTACTCCTCGTTGTGTTCGAAAGGGTCGTCCTCGTCGCGCCGCAGAATCATGGAAGGCCGGTCATGGTCTAGGGGGAAGTATTGCGCACATTTCTCGCGGCCCGACTCGACCGTCTGCGTGAGCATGACGATGACAGCAACATCCTTGCTTTCGTGGAATACCATGTGCCAGAAATGAGCAAGGTGGCCTACTTTCGGTCCCTTCACACACAAGAATTAGTGGGTCGATAGGGCCGCCATGACATACGGATGCCTACATACCTGTGTTGCAATGTACCTCCTCTCCTCCTGAGACACTGAATCAGTAAGGACGATGGGCGATGCATTGATGAAATCGCATTCGCCTTCCGGCACCCTGAGATGGATGCGCGAGTTTGCCCATGCCTGCACATTCATATATCGGTTTCGAGCCCTGACCTCAGGATCCGCCTCCAAAGCCCAACGGTGGGCGGGGTCATTCGACAGCATCCCCTCGGCGAAGCGCGCCCGTTGTAGCCATTCCAATTCCTCAAATTTCTGGTGTATCTCTAGGATAATAATGAAGCGTCAGTGACTCTGCGACACTTCAGGACAATAACGTCTTGCGCAGCGATCGGCAACTGAAGTTGTCATCGGACGGGCGCATACTGACCGATGGCAGATTGGCACAGAAACGGGGGAACGAGTTCATTATCACCAGCTTCCAGGCCGGGATCATCTAACTCGGAACCGGACACAACGTCAAAACCACCTTCAGTGTCTTCCGGTAGAGCACGCTTAGTCGCCTGGACACTCGTATCGATCTTGATGGTGGGATGCGCCATCTTGGCCGCAGCGATCCTTTGGAAGGCTCGAACCTTGCCTAGGACGCCGCGCGCCTTTTTCGAGACCCGCTTTCGAGTTGAAGCAAGCTTTCGGGTGCCGCTGCGGAAACTGAGAGTATCTGGAGAAGGGGAGCGGGAGGGTGGTGCTGTGATAATCTGCCCCGCGTTGCCGTCCGATGGGTCGTCGCTCGTGCCGTTGGAGGGGTGTGGCAGGGATGATATCTGCAGCGTGGACAGATCGGGACAGCTGTGGCAGCTGCCCCCGGTCGTGATTTTCTTGGCCAGATTTTCAGGTCTTACAGGAACAACTTGCTGTCGGTTAATATCTAGGGAAGGATGAGTGTTTGTATAGAATCGGGTCGGTCGCGAGGCCACCGTTAAGGTCCGCGAAATGAGGGAGTAACAGGGTAATCTCGACCGGTTTTTCCTACGTTGAGGCAGGAGGTAACGAAGGCAGCGAAGATTTTCCTTTCGAAACGCCAATGCTAGGCACGATCAAGGGTCGTTAAGGTCGATAGTACCAGGTATAGAATGCGGCAAAAAATTGTCCAGAGAAAAATTACGAAAAAAGAAAGAAATAATGAAGGGAGATTATTGGAGCCCCTCACGAAACGCGATCAATTTTGGTCTCCCCGCACCTGCAAGAATAATGTAAAAGTTGATTAGAACGTGGCCAGGAACCTGTCGATCATTATATGTTCACAAGAAAGTAGCATATAAGGAGAGTAGTTGTTGGGAGAAAGAAGAGACAAAGGGAGTAGAAGAGGGACAGGATCGTCTGATAGTGTCATATGCGACGGTTCAACTTTCAAGAACAAAGGCTATGATGGAATTGTTGGGGTGTCTCTAGTGATGTAATCGCTAAAGAAGGTGTTGATATCACATAAAGAGAAGAAAACACATAGTTATAGTAGGGGAAAGGGAGGAAGACGACGTAAGTATCCGTAGAAAGAGCTCTTACCAGATGATTTTAGAGATCTGCAAAGAAGTGTAGGAGGGATAATATGCTACAAAAACAACATAGCAACAATAATCATCCAGACCTCTAGAATACAGTCCTACTGTTCTCACTAGTCATATCAATATGTAACTATATCCAGAATATCTTGACTTGGAGGCGAAACTCTGTTTCCTTCCATGGAGAACGAGAAGATCATTAGAACAGCAAATCCCCGCTTCTGACTGGTCGAGCTGTCAAACGCGCCACAAAAGGCTAAAACGCGCATAAGAGCGGGCGGAGCGCAGAGCCTCTTTTTCTTCCTTCCCAACTCCCAGCCATCACACGCCAAATCCGGCTACTACTTTCACTCTATGCTCTAAGCTCAGAGCTTATGGGTGCCTGATGGATTCCGCTGACGCTCAAGATCACATGAAACTATCTTCTATAAGCTTTGGAAATTAACTATCATCAGCCCACAAATGGTTTTCAAGCTTTTTTGGCTCCGAACCCTGGAGGTACGTAGCACCTCATCTGGCAGACCAAAGTCTCGATGGCCAGCTTTCGACTAACATTTGTATTAGGTTTGGTTAACTGCACGGGCATGTTTGCCTTCAAGGCATCTCAAAAAGGATTTGCAAAGCTGACTTGTTGACTACAGCTGCTGGCCAGCCCGACATTTCACAGGATGGTCGGAAGAGTCCACCAAAAGGTTCAACACCTCAGGTACGGTGTACCTCCCGAGGAAATGGGAGGTACCAAGCTTGAAAAGAATGGTATGCGAGATACTGCTCCAGAAACAATCATTTCGCTGAAGAGATTGTGCTGACGGCTTTGTCCATAGGTCCCGGCCTCAAACAGTTTCTCGAATACTTTAAAGAAGAAATCAAAGATCAGCTCAAGGGGAAACCGCCGAATAAACTATGAACCCGACTTTACCAGATTCTAGATGTCTCACGAGTCGATGTACGATATTGTTTTGTGATGACCTACAATGATACCCATCCATCGCTTTCTCTGCTTTGGCTTCCCCCGCCTCATTCGCGATAAACTGTCTATACCGTTGATCTTTGTCTAGACCGGATACAGATTGGGCTGCAGATTTCCTTGCGCCGTGAACTGCAACCCTCATTCCATCCGAAGAAGAATGTCTTGCTTCATTCCGCTTTGCCCAGCCGATTTCTATGGACTGTTTGGCTAGGCTTTGAAGTTCGGAGCATATATAAATAAATAGTTCTGCTTATGTTGATTTCTTCAACGTGTAGCTTAGGGTTGACTGAAACGATCCCATTTCATATAGTGTACGATCCTACAGAAGCCCTTAAAGTGACACCTCGATAGTCGCACCCTAGAGCACAACGTGCAACTCGGCCATCTCGGCCACTACTACTGAACCATGGCGCGAGGTGATGGATCTCATGTAAACAATGACCGTCCGAGTATTGTACCTGCAGGAGGCACACGTGAGCGCATTTATGCATATGTGTTCGAAATATCATACGCCTGTATCCGTAGTCATGCGAGTACGAATTTCGAAAGTGCCGACGTGTGCCGGCGACGAACTATTATTTGCGCTGTTTCGACTTTGGATGTTTCATGCCAGGCTTTCGCTAATAAGGACATCTCATGCTTGATCAGACTACTCGGCCTTTGGAAGTGAAGCTACGCTGTCATACGTCCTATGTATGTGCTTCTCTCAGCTTTATCTTATATATACTACTTTCCCTGGATCTTAGTAATATAACAAGTTGGGAGACTCCCTTGCGCATAAAGCCATATAGTGAGAATTCTGAAACAACAACGAATCATGTTGTGTCCCGTGACATAAGCGTGTCGTCGGCATGTCCGGCACACGTAAGATAGCTCATCCTGACTGCCATAAAGGGAAGTTGTCCGTGGTAATCAACGGAGAATGGTGGAAGGACGATCCAAGGGAGACATGACGATACCCTCATGAAAGATATATTCCATATATTCCGTGCCCAACTACTTCTTAACCATCCGTAGACAATGGAACAATGACTGAGTGAGACTCATGACAATGTTTGTTGTGCTTAGCTAAAATCGATGGCGCATGATCCGAGGAGACAGCTCATCAAAGGATGCCGAAGCTCTTTGAGTGGTGGGTATTAGGACTCCAAGAAGGGCTGGGGCGCTGGAAGTGCGTAAGGTATGGTAAATGTTCATTAAGTGGGTGCCTTAAAATAGCAGCATTGATAGCAGCATTGATAGCAGCATTGATGAATAAGCATGTTGAGTTTTAGTTAACTAACTACGGAGTACATAGTAGTTAGTAGGTAGATAGTTTATGTTATGCAGTGGTCGGCTGGCATATTCAAGGAAGCCGATAGCCCGACAATTCGATGGAGAATACCACATTAGAACCAACTAACTACCATTGTACTCCGTAGGTGACGGATTAGTCAAAGCAGTCAGTTCGAGAAATGTCAACCAAACTAAAAGATCAAAAATTAGGGCGTCCTAGCTCCGGCTGAAATTCTTTCCTGTATGCCCATTGGAGAAGCAAGGTCTAGACTGTCTCAGCTGCTTTGTGGCTATTGGCCAGCTGACTCTTAGTTGCAGCGCTAGTCATTGATTCGTACATTTATTTGCTGGCACGGGTGTTTGGGCTTTTCCAGAGATGGTATGGTGGTACGGTAACGTGGTACCGGGTCAGGCCAAAATCTGAGACCTCTGGACTGGCAGTACAACGTCCCTTGGGTACCATTACCAATCGGCGACGGTTTCTGTCTTTGATTATTTCCCTCCCTTCTGACTTTCCAACCCTTTCTTCTTCCTCCAGTCTTTTCCCTTTTATCCCGCCTCCCTTACACTCGCTTCGTGCACATCGTGCCTCCTCTTCGAATCTGGTCATTCGTTAACCCCTCTGTCACTGTGTGCATCTCCTGACTTGAAACACCTGCACTTCACGCGCCAGAGAGGTCTCACTTATTTGAATCACCTCAGTCAGCACTCTCAACACAGCACCGTCTTGAGCCGAGTCATCTCATATACTACCGGTCACCGTCTCGGTAAAGAGATCTTCGACATCTTCGACTAAGTCACCTCTCGGTCACGCCTCACACTTCACCCATCATGCGAGTCGCCCGTCTCTCGTTCCTCCTCTACTCTCTGGCCCTCGTGGCCGTCACGGCTGGCCAGAGCCAGGGAGTTACTGACATAGCTGCCGTCACCTCTGGCCTCCCAGCGCCGACCGCTACGGATTCTTCGACGACCTCGACAACATCATCGTCTGAGTCCAAAGAGACCACTTCTACTACTAGTTCCGAGAGTACAAAGTCGACAACAACAACATCAACCGATACTACCTCGACCACCTCTAAGAACGATAACCCTGCGCCTACCCCAACCACATCGTCCACAACTTCCAAAGACGATACTCCAGCGCCTACCACCACCTCTGATGGTACGTCGGCAACTGAGACCAGCGGAACGAAGACTTCCAGTTCGAGCGATGTGGTCAAGACGATCACCACGACTCACACTATCAGTGGAACACCTGTTCCGACCACGTACACCACCACTTCTCCACAAGGCAGCAGCTCGACGGATTCTCCTAGCTTGAACGGCTCAACCAACAAGGACTCCAGCTCTGGTCTCTCTTCTTCTCAGAAGAAGATCATTATCGGTGTCGTGGTGGGTGTTGGTGGTGCCATCATCATCGGTGCTATTGCTGTAGTCATGTGGAGGATCCGTGCCAGAAGACGTGCTGCGGCCGACAACGATGAGGCTGCCGATCTCATGAGTGGCACAGCTGTCGGTAGCGGTGTTCGAGAGAAGGCCCCCAGCCCTGGAGCTGGCGGTACACCATTCAGAAGTACACTTGACCAATACCACAACCCTGGTCCTGTTAACGCTGCGTCCAACTTCTAAGGGTCGTTAGGCCACTTTAGCTGATGGACAGTTCCTTGGCACCCTTCTTTCAAGGTTGTACATCTGTATGAGTATACGCACGTCTTTTTTTCATTTGGCGCTTATGAGTGGGAAGCATCTTTGTTCTTTTTCCTTGCTTTCTTTTCCTTTGACTGCGTCCTCGCCATCTGCGATCGTATCTTTTCTTGCATCGTGCCACTGGCACGCGATAGACTGTCCGTCATTCCTTTTGAAGATTACGCTCCTTTCTGCAGCTCAGCTGTTCTCACGATGGTCTTTTTTGATTCCCCCTTTCGAACAACTCGATTATGTACAGGAATGCAGTGGTTCGTCTTATCTCCCTCGCCGTCTCTCCTTCTTCCAAAATGGTTGTCATTGCATAGCCATTTGACCAAAATTTTGTCATGTATGTACGTTTTAATTTCAGACGGAAAAATAGTCCAAATCACACTCAAATCTATATTACTAGGGTACTTGGTAGGCCGTGTTGAGTAGAGATCCAAGACACAGTTGCGGATGTGTCCACGCAATTGAGATTAGCACTTTCAGTAAGGATCACAATAAGCCATGTCACGATGTATAGGTTACATCGTATCTTCGCCAGAGTCCAGGTCGTTAGTTTGATTTTGATGGATTGAGTTCAGTGTATACAGAGTAGCTAGGTATCCCACAGCAACTTAAGCCAGGGTCGAGTCCTGAAACAACCGCTCCCTTTCCCCGCTTCAGCTGCCGTGCATGGGTTACTCATCGTCTCATGCACTCAATCAAATGACGAATTTCCTAATCAGTTATCATTTACAAAACAATGCAAGCTCAATAGCCACAATCAATTGGGCCACTGCGCCTATCCAGGGATTGTAGCGCATCCCAGAGCATTGACATCCGCGCGCGACCAGAACCAAGGCCAAACTGTGTAATCAAGATGAGGGCACCTATCTCCTTGCTCTGTCTGTTCGCTCAGACAAGCTGTCTTGTCTGTCTCTGGTCATCGTTTGCTCTGATTCAAGGGGTGGCGGCGTCAAGACATGACCCCTTAGGTCTGGTATATGAGGCGGCGGCGCCGCCACCTTTAGCGAAACGACAGGATCTACAGGTTTGGGTTACGCCTTTTGTCTCTCTGCTCGGAAGTTTTGGGCTGGGTGGCTAATTGTATTCGTTGATGATAGTCCTTTGCGGGGGCGTTGGGTGGTGCCGCGCCTGCGGTGAGTTCGTTTTGACCGGGTTACACGTGCTGGGGGGCGCGAGACTGACACTGTCTTCTGTAGGTGACGAGTACCGGGGATTCTGAGAGACCGTACGGTGTTAGTGGGAACACTTTTGTATGTTCCGTTTTTGCGTTGTGCTGCGGTTGTGAAGCCCCGGTCATGCTAATGTGTTATCATGCAGACAGATTTCGAGTCTGCTGCTCAACGAAGGTTCTTCTGATCCAGTGTCAACCCTGGTGGACAGAAATGCTGATGACACTCGTGCTTGACAGCTGCAATGAGCAATTTGATTCGTGCCAAAAGGTATATCCTGTCGATAGCCAAAACGGGTTGTCTTTTGTCTCTGACCGGACTTGATATAGATCGCGAATACAGACCAATCGGCGTCCTTCTCGCTGCAGGATTGTCAGGATCAGCTGAGTATGTTGAATTTTCTGCTCACGGGAAGATATGCCGTGAATTGACGTCGATCTAGAAAGCTGCATGTCAGTATCAACGGTGCAGGCCACGGCGGCTAGCATCAACCATCCGGACTCGGCAAGTGATACGAACGCAGGACCGATAGCTCAGACGACGATCCCATATGATGATGAATTTGATCTTGTCTGTGATTTATGATGGTTTTCCGGTAGAAACTGCTGCTCTAAATCATGAACATGCCCCAATCTCTTCTGTTGATAGTATGAGGTAGATGAATCGACAATTGCGTACATAGACTTCTACTTGAGGAGTGCAGAATATCTCATCCCAGTATAGATAATTCACCAGAACGATCAACAGCTGCGCGTCTTTTTTGTGATTGATGGGATGGGATGGATACAACGCTGCCCTACACATCACTGACATCGGATGCATTTTCGATTCAAGATGGCTATAGGTAATCTTGCAGCCTGAGGAATGCAATGTTTCCTAATATAGATTAGCGTTTGCGCCAAGTCGCGTGACCCCGTGCAGTGACGCGCGATTTTAGCATTATTGAGACGGTCATTTTGGAGGGAAATTCCGGTTCTCTATCGACGCGACGGTGGCTGAGGACACGATAACAGAGCAACAATATTAATCTCCAGACAAGCACCATGACTCCACAATAGACTTTTGCTACCATTGACTCCCATAATCAATCGCTATTTCGGAGTATCGGCCTTCATCGAAGAGCAGCAACTGACCCGATCATACTTCGACCGCCACCATCCTAACCTCCGCCTCCCACATCTAGTTACCATGTTCGCAGCAATCCCACCAGCACAGTCCTACGCCTTCCAAGCGTCCTGCTCGCACTATACACCAATGCATCCGTCTCCATTGTCGCCGCGCAGCTCGACGCTTGTCTCAGCACGGCCAATGAACGGAGGTCCCTCCGCATCAACAGCATACACCGAATGTCCCGCAACAAGCAACACAGACCGAGCAAACTCGGAATCAACCCAAGCACACAACTTTTCCTTCTGTACTGAAAACACCAACTCTACCACTACCGCGACCACAAAATCAAGTCCCTTCTCCCCGCGCTCCCGTTCCTCCCCCACCTACGCACAACGCTACGCAGCCCTCTCCAACCCCCTCAACAATGCCTCCCGCACATACGCCACCTCGATCTCACCATCCGCGCGCAACGCACGACGGACCGTCTTCCTCAATCGAATCAAGGCCGACCGCGACGCGGAGCGCTTCGAAAACCGTGGCGAGCAGCTGATGATGATGGAGCATGTGGCGGAGCAGAAGCAGTGGGGGGAGCTGATGCGGAGGCGGGCGGATGGGCTCATGGAGGCGTATCAGCTGAATGAGGATGTAGGGGAGGAAATGGATGGTATTGGTATGTTTCTCCTCTCGAGGGCGCAGGAAATTAAAAGAAGGAATCTGACAGTGTATAGATGATGCGGATGTGCGTGCTTTGGATGAGTACGTGTCTGAGGAGCAGGCTATGGAAACTGCGCTGTTGGAGACGGCGCATGTGCCATTCGGGAATACGGGCAGAACGCATGAGGCGAACTCGTTCAGTGATGAGGAGTATGATGATATTTTCATGGGTCTGGCTGATCAAGTACCGCAGAGCCAGGACATGGATATGTCGAGTGGATGAGGATTTTGGCGGCGGTCTTTTGAGCATGCATTGCTGGCGTTTGGACGGATATCTGGCGTTGGTGCAGGGACCTTTTCCCAGCCTCAGGGATCCTGAGAGGCTGGTTGCTGTATAGATCTATCGGCAGAGGCCGTATCTTCATTGATGTAAATAGGGTATCGACGTGGTTAAATGTACAGAACATGCCAATAATAGATGGTATCATATCTAAACCAGACACTATCGCATCGAAGCCTCAAGCAATCACCATACCCACTAACATAGGTTCTTAGACGCCAACCTTACTGCTGGGGACAGTCAGGTAAAGATGCCCCAGACCCGTCGCCTGCCATATCCTCCGGCCAGGGATTCGCAACAAGTTCTTCCGGGGGACTACCCAGCGCTTGCATCTAGAAGGTATCAGCATGTGCCGCGCAAAGAAAAATAAAAACATACCTCTTGCATCTTCTCCCACACAGCCTGCCGATACTTCGGATCTTCATCTGTATACCCTTCCTCCTCGAACTTGGCCACAATCTCAGTCACAAGCTTAGCCTGCTTTTCGTACCTCTCCATATCCTCAGCAGGAACCTTGCCCTTATTCTCCTTCAACCACGGGCCCCATTTCGCATCCAACTCCTTCATCGGCTCATACAGCATCTCTTTATTGGAAAACTGCTCCATCACACCGGCAATCATCTGCGTGAGGTCGAGATCATCGCCCCCGTTCCCAACCCCCGCCTCCAACCCCTTGAGCAGCTGCATCAGCATGTCCTCCGAGATCCCCCCGTCCTCCGTTGCCGCGGCCGTAGCCTTATCCCCAGACTCTTTCATCCGATGGATAGTCCGCTGAATGGCATCATTGAAGGACTCTGGCGCAGCCGCTTTCCCAGCACCAGTCGCAGACCCGGACGGTCCACCGGTACTCGGGCCCACGCCTGCGCCTGCACCCGCAGCAGCGCCAGCGCTCTCGCCTTCCTCCGCCATGACATCCGCCAGCAGCTGCTTCAAAAAGTCACCAGGCGGGATCCCGCTCTCCTCGAGCTGCTTCGTGAACGCGTCGGCCCCCTGGTTGATCGCACTCTCGAACTCCTTGTTATCTGGCGCGCCGGACTCCTGCGCGGCGTGGTTCATCATCTTCGCCATGTCCTGCTCGAGCTGGCGCATGAAGGCGTCTTCGTCGAAGTCTTCATTCGCGGGGGCTGGTGCGCTTGCAGGTGGGGGTGCGCTTGTGCTTGGCTGGGGTGTGGGTTTGGAGAAGTTATCGAGGACGTCTGGTCAGGTCAGCTATGGTCAGATATGCAGGGGTGGCGGGTGGTACCGTCTAACTCGTCAAACTCCGAGTCTTCGTCCTCGTCGGCATCTTCTACGACTGCTTTTGAGGAAGCGGCTTCTTTTGGTGCCTCTGTCGCTGTCGCTGTGGGTTTCTCATCGCCAGGCGAGCTTGCGCTGGTTATAGGAGCTGGGGTGGTTTGGTCGGGAGCGTTCGCTGCGGGGGCGGCTGGGCTCTCCTCGTGATGTTGCTTAGTGACGCCTGCACTGGCATTCGGTGATGAGGAGTCCATTGCGTCTGATGGTTATATACTCCTGAACAATTCTGAGAAAGTTACTGGAAAGGAGAGACCGGTGCTGTGGTGAGAAGGGAGTTTGGCAGACGCGCGCATGTGAAGAAGAATTGTCGGGGATTCTTTTGGCGGGGAACCGAAAGCCGATCGCCGCGGCATCGCCAGTACTGTACTACGGAGCACTCCGCGTGTGCCACTATCTCTTCAAATCGGCCTACCACGCCCTGGAACGATTTGGCTCGATACACTCTCATGTATTCTTACGAATCCACTCGTCCTCTTCTAGTTCCTTAGCGGAGCTACGCTTCCCCGGCTCCCACTGCAACATCTTCCGCATAAAGCGTAGAAAACCCTCGAGAGTAGTTTCCCTCTCCTCAAGCATAATCCGCTCTTGTAATGCAATCCCAGCGCAAAAGTCGCCTAGAAGATCAGACATCGTGAGTTGATAGTGGAATTTACCAGAAAGGAAGTTATCTTACCCTTAACGGAAAAGAATTTGTGGCTCGATTTCCCTTGAGCAAGAAGACTGAGCGGCCGGTGCCCCAGAAGACTGATCATCTCAGCGAGGTGAGCTCGACTTCGGTATGTCTGGAGTTCCGGGTCATGGCCAGTGAATAAGGACTCGCCTTCGAAGATGTCCCAAATCTGTAGTACAACGTTTCAGAAATTGCTGCACCCGTATCATCGGGCCTATTGTCTTACCATACATCACACGTTCCATATATCGATGCTGTACGTCCAGGGGACTTCCAAAATCACCTCCGGTGAGCGATATATATTAGGTTGAATGTCTTCCGAGTGATCTATGCCACCGGAAACCGCTGAGCCAAAGTCGCAGAGGACCGGAGCGCCCCATTCCCTGGGCATTCTGAGTTCCAGGGAGACGTAGATTTTCCATCTAGTTCCTTCCTCGGGCAAGGCCGCAAGGGGATCGAAGCTCCCGCTCTTCAAAGTCGCTGAGACCGGATCATCGGCGATGCTGAACATGATGTTGTCAGCCTTGATGTCTGATGGGGTTGCCGAGTAGGTGGATGGTAGAAGCAGAGGAAGACCAAATTGGAACACAGACCAGTATGTATAATGTGGCATTCGGTAACAGGCGCTGCAAGACAAATGCTAGGGCTGGTTTAGGCAGCCTGCGGACCGGGTTGCGATGCAGAAAGTTCAACACACTCTCCGATAATGGAGGATGCACGAGGCATCGATGTTTGTTTCGGGCCCGTCGACATCGAATGAGTCGAGCATCGATCTAACAGCTTTGCGACCTGGGTGGCTTTTCGAGCCTCTCTCTATGCGTTGGTACATCTTGAGCTCGTCATCCAATTGCTGTCCCATGGATGTCGACTTGATAAAGGTCTTGAGGGTAACATATCGACAATAGCTGTTATAGCGTGTGAGCGAGTCTACCATGAATGCCATAGGAGTCTCGCTTCATGTCCCGAGCAAGCCATACAGTCGAGCTAGTTCCAAATCCTAGTTTTCCTACGATTTGATATCGGCCCTTGAGAATTTCTCCTATTCGAACAGGATAAACCGCGAAGCAACATGATATGAGATAGTTTCTTCTTCGATCTTCTGACTTGTAGGTATCCGGACGAAGTTGGGATTGGAGAAGTTGAGGGGCTTCCATATCCGTCCGAGTGGAGATAAAGACCGTAGAAGCGATGGGGACATTATCAATAAGGGCTTATCACGTATATCTCTGGAAATGAAAAGGCACAATGGATCTGATTGACATGATTTGCGGATGGCCTGTAGTTCAGGCACTGATCCCTGACACCCCAGAAAAGCCCAAGCAATTCTTGCGCATTGTAAGCATCATGCAAGTGTCTTCACTCTGATTTAAGGCCGGGAGATATGGTCACTTATTATCCAAAAGCATAAACCATAGTGAAATAAGGATTTATAAAAGTAGCTTCCATTGAACGATAAGCACTTTCAAGGTAGTAGTTAAGTAGACGGCCTCCTGTGGATCATAAATGCCCACATTGCGGGATCTTCGCGAAACGCTACTTAAGCATGGTTGATGCCTTCTGAGATTTAGCCGCCAGACAATTCCCAATATATGGGAACATAATCCGATGAGGCCAGAACCATGCCTGGTTTTGGCAGAAGTCATCAAGTTGAAACCCAATGCAATAAGTAACCAGTACTCGGAGTCGCCATGGCGTCAGTTGGTGACAGCAAGGATCCAGGTGACTCGAGACTTGACTATCCCTTCTTCCAGATTGCGGAGTCCGGACTCTATGTAGGTATGAAGCCCTCTGCTGGAGGTGGCAGACTTCGATTGTCCTGACATGTACCCGGTATTTGTCCTGATAAACCTTCTCGGAGAGAGCTGATGCCTGTGTCTGCCTCCCAAACTGCGATCCTACTAATAGCTCAGCGGGCGAAAGCGACTCAAGCCGATGTGTGATCTCTTTAGCGGAGTCAACATGTTGGTGTTCGCCTGAGCAGCGGTAGCCGCTCAGCATCAAACTTGAGCTTCGTGGCTGATTTGCCCTTGGCATCTTCTTTTTGGCCTTTTCGACGATACTGCTACCGGCTCTCCTGGACCATGTCACCAACGGCGTTAGGTCTTCCATATCCTTCAGGGCCTGCTTTGTCGGCCTTTACACTATTCCGTTCCATTTCAAAAAGCCACCCCGCGAAACACATCCATTCCTGTCCTGTTGTATCCATCTGTTCCCCGGTGACCATCAGCCCATGTGGTGAGACAAACAGGGAAGAGACAGGTAGGTCTGATGGCAAGACAAGTTCGGTTGTGTGTGTATGCTTATATTATATGGTATGAGGGCCATCTTTGTATTAGCTCCTCTGTCCCCTGTCCAGTTGCAAGACATACCGAGCATTCTCCAAAGAGCTGTCATTCTGAACAGTAGAAAGTTTCAAGAGGCGCACTAAGGTTCCAGGCAAATGCTTGTACTTGTCCGGCAAATACTGCCAATATTCCCCAACTTCACACACGGTACAATGCTCCTAGATGTCTTCACCGTCTTCTTAATTGGCAACTGAGTTTGACAGGACTCCTGGGGTATTTCCTGTTGATCCGTTCTCCCAAGGTCCGATCATCCTGTAGGGCCACAAACCTTGATGTATGGAGTCATGGAAATTCTGGCGAACGGCACATATATGAAGTAGTCCTGAAGAGATTGGCAAGGTCGAGGTAAGCTATGGCTTGCTGTATGTCTCCTTTGTCCTATATCTTTGACATAAGTGGATTCGAGGGTGCAAGCCCAGATTGCTCGGAAAGGGGGTCGTCTTTTATCATCCAACAGCTGCTCCTGGAATCAGTCTTCCGAGATAGGCGTACAAATTACGAGTATCTTCACACGCGCAAAAAATCACTTCCAGTGCTCGAGTTATGACATTAAAGTGTTGGATTTCACTAACTAATCATAGCATAACCACCAGAATTCGGATATCGAAGTCCTTGGTAGGAGGTCTCTCAACACCAATCTCCCCGCTCATTGATTCCGGAGAGGCAGATCTGATTACTCCGTAGTCGAGGTGATGTTCTAAGAGCCCTACGGTTGGTCAAAAGAATCGGCAGGGTCCGACCTCACTTTCGAAGGAATTTCAGGAAAGGATCGATTCACTAGAGGGAAATTAGTAGTATGTAAAAATAAGAGCCCATTATTGAAAAGGGGCAACAGAGTAAAGTCCTTTTAGCACGGTGTAGTCTAACGCTGAGTAGAGTCGTTGGGCTCAGTAACAATTTCCCTTTTTAGAAGTTTCTGGAGATGATATAGATACCAGGGGAATCGCAATCCTCAGACGGAGTCTGCATAGAATTGGTATGTATCTTGACGATCAGCTACTTTATTATCATCATGATCAATGAAGGACAGAGATCATGGTGAGTCGACCACAATACCTCACTGGCATCCTGTGAGCTGGCTAGCTGCTAGACTACCCCGCGGAAAAGACACCCCTCATCCCCTGACTGTTTGCCAAGAGTGCAGGGAAAAGCTCAGATCATCAGATGATGTGCCCCGTGGCTGATCCTCGTGATGTCACTCCTTGCCTGTGTCTTTGGCTTTCGGGTAAGCCTCTTCGCGACTGGATGATGATAGGCGACAGGGATACGAGGTACGTGTCTCCTTTATTCTTGCGGGAAGTGCCAGAGTGCCAGCCTTTCCGGAGGTCTCCTATGTGACTGTAACAGTTTTGAGGTAACTTGGCCTGCCGGGGAAGGTCATGTGCCATCCCCCAGAATCAATAGAGGTAATAATGCTTCTGCTAGGATTGAGTACTCATAGCCTCATAGGGTAATCTAGTCGAGCGTCCTGATGGGGTTGTATGTCTTGTTTGACGTTCCAGAACTGCACGTCCACGGTCCTCCCATACTGTGAGCCGATGGAAGCCGGCATCGGCGGGTCTCGTCCGTGCTGTACTCCATACGCCGTACATAAGAACCATGCCATAGTCCCTGCTAGGCTACAATCCAGCAATCCTAGTTTGCGTAGGCCGACTTGATTTGTCGGGAGTGAAATTCAAGTGTTCCAATATCCATCACAGTGAGAATTCAAAAGGGGCATTAAGCGAGAGGCGTACCAGGGACACCTGAGCAGAGTTTTCCAGTATCGGAAATCTGAGAGGATGGAGGAAATACGGTATTCTTGGCTTGTAATAATGGTAACAAGAGCGTATTGGCCTATCCGTACTCCGTGCTTCATTCGTCATGGCTTCTCCGCGGACAACTAGCCTGCCTGAGAATTACCTCAGCTAGATGAGATGCGTAGAGAAGTGGGAGAATGATGAAGGGGATGCTGCTTTAAGATACTATGGAGGTAGTATTTACGACGGCAAAGCAACCATCAATATCTCAGAACCTGAGCAGCTTTCTATCTGCTGTTTACCGAGAAATAGCATGTATGCTCTCTTGGAAATGAAAATGGATCTCCTGTCACGGCCAAGTCCACCTGTTGCCTGCATTGGGACATGGCGTCGAGGGGGACCTAGACGGACCAACAAATCCACAGGGGCACAACCTCGAGGGGCACACACTGACGACTGACGACCGACTTTGTTCACGTTGTTCTTTTTTGACCATGCCCTGACGGATCTTCGGCTGCTGTGATGAATCAGACTGTCTCGGTGGGTCGATACCTTCCGTTCGCCGACAGAGAAGTAAGCGAAGTAAAGAGGAAGTCGAGGACTCACAACATTCACTGAATTGACAGAACGAGGGGAAATAACCTGTTTGTCGAGTTAGACTGAGGGGATTAGTGGTTTGATTAAATAGAAAAAAGAAAAGAAAGCGAGTTCGTAGCATGATATCTGAGGCTATCGCTCTGTTTGATCCTAGAGGCTATGGTCTCCGGTGTCCACCACGGGCAAGTCGCTTTTTTCCGCTTTTTTTTTTCTTTTTCCTTTTTCTTTTTTACTCCTCTTCAGGTGCCTCCATCAATCAACAATTGGATTCAAAGTGACAAAGTGGGCTTTTTCTTCTTCTTTTGAACTCTTGCCCCAAGTCACTAGAAACAAAACTAATTATAAGATCCCTTTTCTTGTTAGTAAATAATTTTACCTCACATCTTCCCACCACCACTCCCTTTTCCTCCTCCTCTTACCATCCTCAATCTAACCGTTTAGCAATCGTGCTGTATCTCTTATCCCATCATCAATTTCCTTTATGTCACATATCGACTTAGGCTCTTCCAACCTGACTACCATCCGCAACAGCCGCGCGTCTCCAGCGTTTGATCGATAGCCCTACAGGATTCGAGATCTTTATCTCCATACCAGCCTTTTTTTATACTTTATTATTATTAGTTTTTTTTCCTTTTCTTTTATCCATTATCTTTTTTTCCGTCTAAGCGCGGCTTCGAGCGACCAAGTCCGTCAGCTCCGGTTCGTCGCAATCGGGGTTGATAGTGCCACCACATACATACTTCGTTATCTTTCTCTCTCATTTTGATCTCTTCCTCTTTCGCCTGGCTAAGTAGGCGGGGAAGGGGGGAAGATCACAGACGATTCAAGGGAAGGAAGGCACCAGGCGCATCGTCGCTATAATCACAAATGGTCTCTATGGTCGAGACCTCCAATTCAAATCACAATGACACGGCCACGGATTCGGTCGTGCC